ATAAAAACACACCTTTGACAGCGATGACTTAGATCAAATACTGGCACAGCTACTTTGGTTAAATCATTTCTTTAAATCTTCATACATAATAAGAAATTGGTTTAATTGCGGTATACATTATGTCAGCGATATTTGTAATGAAAATGGATTTCTCAGCTTTGAAGATGTAAAACAGAGGAACAAAATAAGAGGAACCTTCTTAGATTATCATTATTTGTTACATAACATTCCGGTGAACTGGAGACAACTTGTAGGAAACAGAACTCTCTGCTTAAATCAATTAAACATTAATAGAGTTTACCAAGATTAGAACTCAAATGTTAAAGGTTCAAGGATATTCTATGATCAATTGATTAAGAATAACAATACTCCTAAGGTACTAATGTATTGGAATACTGTCTTTCAGCAGGATATAATGTGGAGTGATGTATTCAGATATTACAGGACATGTACAAATGATTGTAAGCTGTTAGATTTTCAGTACAGGTTTTTTTGCAGAATAATCTATACAAAGAAAGAACTACTGAGGATGGAGCTAGTTGATAATGATACTTGTACTTTTCGTAAAAGTACCTCAGAAGACATATTGCATGTATGTTTTTACTGTGATTTAGTTAAAAATTTAGGCAAAATGTAGAACAATTTCTAAATACACACCTCCAGTGTAATGTCACATTTACAAAATTAACTATCATGTTTGGAGTGTCCTCAAACAATAAAATACTGAATCATATTATACTTCTTGAGTGAGTGAGTGAGTGAGTTATTATTTAACGTTACATCGGCAATATTTCAGCCATATCGTGACGAGAACACTTGACATTGAAATAGAATATATATAGAGATTATAAAATCTGCCGACAAAGGACAGTAAAGCAACTAGAGTATCACAGATATATATGTAAAACTAGTAATTGAATCTAAAACATTTTAACTATAGGGAACAACACAATATAAAAATGGGCTATAGATCGCTAACAACTGAAGGTAGATCACCATACTAGGGACCATGGGGACTCACAGTACATTTGCTTCCTGCATGGGCCCTAGCTGGATTTACATCATCCCCTCAGCCGTTAGCAATTGAGATATATCTAGCCATACATTAAAATTACACATATTCTACAATTAAAAAACGGAAAGTTGAAATGTACTTTCAATGTTTTGGGACTTACGTACCCTCTCAGGAGGACAATAATTTTACAGTACTTTAACCCCCCTCGAGGATACAGCCACTAACAATCTGTGTTACTAATTCAAACTTCCAATCGTAAAATATTTAGCTATTTACAAATCTGTTAACACATTTAATTCTTTAAAAAAAGCAATAATTAAATGAGGACTTATATAAGTAAAAAGATCCTTCATAGATCGGGATTTGAAATAGATATCCCTTGTGATGGAGTACTCAACACAGTCAAGCAAGACATGCTTGACCGTGATTCGTTCATCACAAGGGATACAAAACGGAGGATCTTCACCTTTTAATAAGTACACATGCGTATATCTTGTGTGGCCAATACGACATCGTCGTATGATGACTTCTTCAAATCTGGACTGACAACCCAAGTAAGTGTAACCGATATAGGGTTTTATTGCATGTAATTTATTGATACCTACTTGGGTGTCCCACTTCTTTTGCATCAGATCACGGATATAAGATCTTATAGCAGCTTTGTAATCAGAGTATGGGATAAGAAGTGGTGTCACAGATTTGTTGAGTGCTGCCTTAGCAGCAAGATCAGCCATTGTATTCTCAAAAATGCCAACATGGCTGGGTAACCAACAAAAGACGATGTCGCATTGGCCAGTAGCAAGTTCACTGTACAATTCAATAATTTCTAATAAAAGTGGATGTTTGCAAGAAAGATTTTTAATAGCCTGAAGACACGAAAGAGAATCTGACAAGATGATATATTGTTTATATTTACGGTGTTTATTAATATATTTAAGAGCTATTAGTATTGCGTTTGCTTCTGCTGTGAAAATTGAACTGTCATTGGGTAATCTGGAAGATATTGTTTTAGACCCAATGACAGTAGCACAAGCAACCACGCCACCATCCTTGGACCCATCTGTAAATAAGGATTTGTATGTATTATATTTACTTTTTAATTGATTATAGTCTTGTTTATACTGTAATTCATTAGTTTCCGATTTTTTAAACTTTGTCAGAGTTAGGTCAACTTCAGGCCTCACCAGTTGCCAAGGAGGAGAAGAAAGAAGACGGGAAGGAGATATATTTTCCAACTCAATGCCGGCAGCAGAAAGAAATGGTTTAATTCTTAAACCAAGAGGCGGAACAAGAGAAGGCTTTTTGTTGTACAAATCCTCATACCAAGGATTGAAAACACAGTTAAATGCAGGATTAGACTCGTTAGAATAGAGTTTTGTTATATACTGTAGAGATAGTTTGATACGACGTTGGGTAAGGGATGGCTCATCAGCCTCAACATAGAGACTATCAATAGGAGAGGTTCTAAAAGACCCAAGACAAAGTCTTAGGCCTTGGTGGTTGACAGAATCAAGTAGTTTTAGGTTGCTTTTGCAGGCTCCACCATAAACGATGGAGCCATAATCAAGCTTCGAGCGAACAAGTGATCTGTAAAGGTGTAGGAGCGTAGCTTGATCTCCCCCCCTACCTTGAATTAGACACGACTTTCAATAATTCGAGTGCCTTCAGGCATTAAGCTTTTAGAGATTTGATATGCGGAAGAAAAGTTAAATGGGAGTCAAAAATGAGACCTAAGAACTTGGCCTCTTTTACAACCTTGATGGGAGTGCCATTTAGAAACAGTTCTGGGTCTTTATGTGGTTTATATTTACGGCAGAAATGTATGCAATTAGGTTTTGATTTAGAAAATTTAAAGCCGTTTTCAAGACACCATTTATTTATTTTTTTTAAACACAACTGTAGTTGCCGTTCAATGGTATGCATATTCTTACCGCGACAAGAAATATTAAAATCATCCACAAAAAGTGATCCATTGATTGAATCATTTAAAACCTTGGATAAACTGTTGATCTTAATGCTAAACAATGTAACAGACAAAATGCTACCTTGTGGTACACCCTGATCCTGAATATAATGGTCAGACAGGGTTGAACCCACTCGGACTTGAAATTGCCTGTCGGTTAAAAACTGTGAAATCAAAAGAGGTAAACGACCCCTTTAAACCAAAATCATGTAAAAAGCTATGCTTCCAGGTGGTATCGTACGCTTTCTCGAGATCAAAGAATATCGATACTGCACGTTGTTTATTTATTATTGCATTTTTGACAAAGGATTCTAAACGTACCAAATGATCAATGGTACTACGATTTTTCCTGAAACCACATTGAATATTTGTTATGAGGTTATTGGTTTCAAGATACCATGTTAATCGATTGTTTACCATTCGTTCCATGGTTTTACAGACACAACTCGTTAAAGAGATTGGTCTGTAATTTGACGGATCAGTATGAATGGGGACTACAATGGCATTACGCCAGGAAGTTGGGAAATTCCCTGTAGTCCATATCATATCAAATAGATTGAGCAGTGTTTCCAAACACGAGCTTGCTCAAGAGCGGTATGGAGCTCATGGAGTAAACATAATTCATTATAATCTTCACCATTGTCTGAGTTAAAATTGATTCTTTTCTTCTCCTGTTGTTTCTGGTGTTTTTGAAACTCAGGGACATAATTTGATGATGAAGAATGTTTGGCAAGTTTTATGAGTTAAGAGATTATAACCATCCTTCAGATTGTGTACAGTAGACTTAGAACCTTTGCCCTTTATTCTTTGGACCATGTTCCACACCTTGGACATAGGTGTACGTGAATTTATTTTGGAAACATAGTTCCTCCAAGACTGACGCTTATTCTGTTTAAATGTGCGTCGAGCCTTGGCATTTAAAATTTTAACTTTGTCTGAATTATGGACTGTAGAATGTTTGCGAAAAAAACTTTTCAGCTTTTTTCCTACTTTTTCTGGCCTGTTTACAGTCATTAGTAAACCATTGTTTACGAATATGTGGAATTGCAGAGGACTTGGGGATAGTGTGGTCAGCAATGTCATTGAGCATATCGGAAAACAGCTGTATAGGATCTTCACTGTTCTGAAATAGGTCATACTTCAAGCGTTCAACACACAGAGTCTCATATAATGACCAATCAGCCCTGGCGAAGTTCCTTCTTGATAAAGTTGGATCATCACCAGGGTTAATTGTTTTGAGAATGGTTGGGAAGTGATCACTCCCACACAGGTCATCATGAACCATCCGTTCAAATTCATTATATAAGGTTGAAACGGTGAGTGACAAATCCAGGGAAAAATATGTTCCCGTAGCTGGATGTAGGTAAGTGGCTGAGTCGTCATTGAAAATACATAAATTGTCATCGGAAATGAATTCCTCAAGGATTTTACCTTTAGTATTAGTGTGGGCACTTCCCCAAAGCGGGTTGTGTCCGTTAAGATCGCCCATGATGAGACATGGCTTTGGAAGTTGATCATACAGGTTTTGAAGATCTGATTGTTGAATAGTAGAAGAAGGAGGGATATACAAACTGCACAGTGTTAAGGCATTGCTCAAGGTCAGACGAACAGCGACAGCCTGGAGATTGGTATGAAGAGAAACAGGGCTATGGATAATACCCTGCCGTACCAAAATTGAAGCACCTCCAGTTGCTAGTTCTCCTTGAGGAGAGAAACAGTGATAACCAATATATTGTCGTAAATTAAAAGTGTCTGTAGATTTTATCTCCTGAAGACATAATGCTGCCGGTCGAAAATCCTGTATCAGTAAGTGTATCTCATTGAAATTATTTTTCAGACCTCTACAATTCCACTGAATTAAAGAGTTATAACTCATGTTGATGCTGGAAGTACTGGGGATCTACTTTTCCCAGTCCGAGGCGACTTGCTTCTGTCGCGTGCACGTGGATGAGGGGAGATATCCATATCTTCCAGTATCTCATATGCATTATGAACCTCAAGAGAGGAAACAGGAGAAGATTCAACATTGTGGAGTGCTCTGATCTTTTTCAGTCTCTTTTTTTCTTTGGCAGATAACTTTACTGTGTCAGGTTCAGTTTCTGGTTCAGTCTGAGACGAAGATGTAGAAACTGATTGATTTCTCTGGGGGGAGACATCAAGGATAACCTGTTTATCCTTGACCCACGAGATGTCAGTCTGGCACGATATTGATGAATTAACAATTCTAGGAGTTGGAGTTGAGGAAGAAATTGTTGCCGAGTAAGTTTTAGCTGAAGAAGACGGAGCTGCTGTAGATTGGACAAGTAGTTTGGCTTCTGAGTATGTGATGTTTTTGGAATGCTTTATTTTCAAGATTTTTGACTCAAATTCAAAAGTTGGACAAGCCTTGGAGGAAGCCATATGCTCTCCTTTGCAGTTAGCACATTTCACATCACGTGTGCACACGGAGCTGTCATGTGCTCCACTGCAACGGCAACATACTGCCTCCTTGCCACGACAGAACTTGGCCCCATGACCAAACTTTTGACATTTGAAACATCGAAGTGGATGTGGTACATAAACATCCATCCCGATATTGAAGTATCCTGCTTTGATACATTTTGGTATAACTGGGAAAGAAAAGGTAAATAGATAAGTATGAGTTTTCACAATATTGCCATCTTGAGTTTTCCTTGTGAAACGTTTAACCTGTATTACTCCTTGGTTTTTCAGTTCTGCAGCAATCTCTTCCTTGCTCATGTCAGTCAGACAACGAGCTAGATCCCTTACAATGCCTCTGCTCGAGTTCAGTGTCTTGTGCACTGAAACAACAACCTGTGTATTAACAAACTGCTGTAAACCAAGCAGATTGACAGATTGCTGCCTCCTTACACATTCCACTAAAATGGAACCGTTTCGAAGGCGTGTTACATTTTTCACTTCTCCGCAGGCACTTTGAATGCCTTTGGAGATAGCAAATGGATTTAATTTCAGGGGCTGTCCATCCGAAGATGATATCACTATGAACCGAGGCCAAGCATCTGTAATTTCAGAAGGAACATCTTCATCCGATGAAGTAGAGTCTACATGACGACGTTTATTTGTCTTGCTAGAACCAGAAGAATTTGTTTGAGACATGGTGTGGTAATATAATTCAACATCCCTGCTCCCCACCCGCCACGGAGTGTCAACAAGGACGATGTCGCAGTGGAAGCCAGCCTGCAACAACAGGGATACAGAGATGAAATACTCCAGCAAATATAGACGTGAAAAGCTATGAGATCCAAAAGAATATGTGTCAGGCTGGTTCGGCCCATAACACTATTCCCAAGAAATATAGATTTCAGAGGTCTTTATAGCCAGATTGGCCCATGAGCCACCGCCTTCTGGCATAGGACTCTAGGCATTGGAATATTTCAACAATTTGTTCATTAGAATTCGGAAAAGCCAAACCACATAATCACAGAAAATGTGCAAAATTTCTTACCATGCACAGGGCACGGCGTGACCAGCCGATTGATAGAACCGGGCCAGTTCTACCACCCGTCTAGGTGAAGTAAGGGGCGAAGTGGTGTGTTGGGCAACAGGAACACCTGGTCCTGGTTCCAGTGCCCTCAACCACCAGCCTCCCGTCCTCCACCGACACAGGGGCGCAACCCACGGCAAACAGGTTGGTGGACCAAATATACCCCCTGGTCCACAACGGGGGGTCGAAGAGCGCTTAGCGTTACCCAGCACCCACCACGAGGAAGTGGCTCTTCACGGGTGCCAACGTCATTCAGACTTTACGTCGCAATATGATTTGAATGACGTCATCTCAGCTGACGACGTAGCAATACAATGCTCTAAGCGATGTTTGTACGTATTAATACGCAGCGAATTTCCGGGTACCGAATGCCATTCGATCACGTTTTTCAACCAATCAGGTTAAAGAACACAGTGACTTTTGGTTTACAATATATTAAGAATACAAATAAGAATGATTGTGAAATTCACGAAAAAGTCTCAGGCAAATATTACATTCAAAGACAAAACCTGACTATTGAGATAAAATTATATTTTTTGGTCATATAATTTGATTCTTTGAAATAATATAAAATCATTTTTTTAAAGACTGTTGTAAAGGTTCTGCTAAAGTATGAACATTATCATAAAAACGTTGTCTGATAAGTCCAAAATCAACACATTCAAGTAAAATGTGCTTGATGGTTATGTAACTATGGCTAGGGATGCTCAATGGTGCATTTCACCTTTTAATAAAAATGAATGTGTATAATGACTATGTCCAATGCGGCACCGCTTCAATACGGTGTACCCCCACTGTGCCCACTTTTCTTAAAACAACAAAATGCAGTCACCCGTAGAAAGAGGAATTAGTTATACTCTTTTTCAAGACACGTCTGGTGACACCGTGACCACAAGTCTGAATAAATTGGTGAGCACATTTCAAAACAAATTGGTTAACACTAACAAATGTAACAGTCATGTATATATATATATATATATATATATATATATAAATATATACATACATATATATATATATATATATATATATATATATATATATATATATGATAAAACGAAACCCCACTTCACCATTCATCATCATGGCTAGTTGACATTCAGTACATTGATAATGCACAGGGTGAAGATACGGGAGATGCTTTGTCAAAGACTACCGAATATGAAGGAAAAAGTATAGAGATGTTAACGCTAGATTTCTCACCGTGAAAGATGATCTCTAGCATGGAAAAAAATCTGTTCTGCAATACCGTGATTGTGTCTTTCATTTAACTGCATTGTGAATTGACAGTTAATGGTCGTGTCAGAAAATGAACATGCAAAAAGCTGAAAAAAAGACTGGTGATTCCAGATATGTTGATGACACGTTATTCATGTTCCTCATAGTAATGTTTCTTAAGATGCATATCACTTGTATGTTAATAAATTATTATTTCAAACTCATTACACTTATGTCTTGTATCAGAAAAAACTTCATGCATACGTTTCAGACCTCAGTACTAATTAAACGCCAAACGTTTCTTGAATAGGTACTACTGCCCATCAGGGCAAGCTTTATGGATAAATTCTATAGCCCTCTAATCCCCATGACTCCCTTAAGGATAAGCTTCATGGCTAGTTCTACTGCCCTCAAAAACTCACGACTTCCTTAAGGACCCGTTTCATGGATAGGTTGTACATCCCACTTGGACTCAGTACTCCTTTCAGGTTACACTTCATCGATACGTTCTACTGCCCTCCACATCTTACGATTCCCTTTAGGGCAGGTTTCATAGATGAGTTCTACTGCCCGCTCACGACTTCCTCCAGGGCTAGTTTCGTGGACAGGTTCTTATCGCCCTCCAAAAATTCCTACTCCGTTTAGGGCAAGGTTCAAGGGCAGGCTCTACCAGGTAGGATCCCACCAGTTTCTTCAATACACGTTTTATGGGTAGGCTCTGTCGCCCTACAGTTCTTAATATTTCCTTCAGAGGGAAGTTTGCACATGACCTCGGACAGCACGTGCAAGAGATGGTTGCCAAGTTACCTTTGTCACTGAACAAATCATATTCGTGGCACCAAATGTTCAAAGACAATTTAATCATCAAGGAGGTTACAGAAGGCGGTAAATTATTGGTTAGTTTCTGTTTCATTGATTTGTATCACCATGGTGAGTGAGTTTAGATTTACGCCGCACTCAGAAATATTCCAGTTATATGGATGCTGTCTGTAAATAATCGAGTCTGGACCAGACAATCCAGTGATCAACAACATGAGCATCGATCTGCGCAATTGGGAACCGATGACATGTGTCAACCAAGCCAGCGAACCTGACAACCCGATCCCGTAAGTCGCCTCTTACGACAAGCATGGTTTACTGAAGGCTCATTCTAACCCGGACCTTCACGGGTACTTGGAGTCTGTGAAGTGAAGTGAGAGTCATTTCATCGTCGCGTTTCAAGTCATTGGCTATCACATTTTAGGACATATACATGTTTCTTAACGACACATACACGTGTTTCGCAATGCTATATTTTGGCACTCGTGAACAGCAACCTCTTCATGGTGAGTGCTGGGTAACACTAATAGCCGTGTAGACCTCGGGGTGATGATCCAGGTGTACCAAGAAGAACTTTGCCAGGGCTGGTTAGTCATTATATGAGACTCTGAGTATTGAACACTTGAAGCATGATCTTCTCAGAAACAGTACAGTCGTTTTCTGACATACTTAATGACATCGTACAATTCCACATTACCCTGCAACACATATTCGTAAACTATGGTTTAATAACGAATGTAAACAGACCAGAAAATGTAGGAAGAAAGCTGAAAATTGAAAAGTCTACAGTCCATAATTTAGTTCTAATGCCAAGGCTCGACACACATTTAAACAAAATAAGCGTCAGTCTTGGAGCTGAGTTGAGTTGAGGTGGGTTTTACGTCACATCGGCATTTTTCCAGCCATATAGTGACGAGATCAAGCCTGAAATCATTTTAAGTACAAAGTCCAAATGAGTTTTATTTTAAAAGCATACATATATATTCATTACACTGCTATTCAAAAACAGAAAATGTCAGCACTAAATTCAAAAGCACGCAGTTCGTTATTCACATTACATTGTTACAATTTATGATACAGATCAACTTCCCTCAGGTAGTTTACAATGAGATGCCCGCTCACTAGGGGAAACAGATTTGTCACATCATAATGTGAATCCCTTGCAGTCGAAACGTCCACACAGTCAAGCAGTATATGCTTGATGGTGAACACTTCATTGCAAGAGACACACATGGGTGGTATAACTTTTGATAGTGGGTTTGAAATCACTGTACGGGATCAGCAGTGGAGATAACAGCTTGTCAAAAGCTGCTTTAGCTGCAGCATCGGCCTTTGTGTTACCTGCTATGCCGACGTGACCCGTCAACCAGCAGAGGACGATGTCACATTGGCCAGTGAAAGATCGTTGTAAAGTTTCAAAATGTCTAGGATGATAGGGTGACTTGAAGTAACAATTTGAAGTTCTTGAAGGCAAGATACTGAATCTGTGAAAATGATGAAATTTTAGTTTTGGTGAGACTTGTTTTTTTGTTTTCCTTTGATGTCAAGACGTTCTGCGCACAGCATACAACTACAATTATGCTCATAAACCTATTATTGAAAGCCTTGTCCAAAATGTGGCGAGTGTCAAGTTTTGCTCTATATACTTGGGTTGTCAGTCCAAATTTGAAGAGATCATTATGCGACTCGTGAATATTTGTTTAAAACTGAAGATCCTCCGTTTTGCCTCCCTTGTGATGAAAGGATGTCTTGCTTGACTGTATTGAAACACAACTTGATGGATGACAACTTCTTGTTTATTGCGTTAAGCGACCTTTCGATGTAGATTCTTTCATCGTTATCAAGCTAAAAGTGACTACAACCAAATGGTGAAAAGAATACAAACATTGTATGTTGTGACAAGCAGCAGATTGGCATTAACAACAGCATGTAATTGAATAACAAGTGGTACATATTTGGAAGAGACCAGTATGGAACTAAAAACAACAAATAGCACCAGTGATGAAGCCAATAAACAAGGGGGATTAAGTAGTAACAACAAATAGACAGGCTGATTTGATAGGCTATAGTTTGATTAATTCTCCCTGGGCCGATGGTATGTACTGTAGTATCCTTGATCTCTGTTTATCAAAGGTTTGTGGCGGCAGATTTCGATGGCTTCTAACAGTTTACTTTTTGTGAAGTCCTGATTTTTTGTTGATAGGACTTCGAATTCGTCAAACTTGATTTGGAGGGTATGGAATTTTTGCTGATGATCTGAGAGGGCTGAAATTGCTGTCTGCCTTGGCTGTAGAGGTTTTATGTTCCTTAATGCGGGTGTCAACGGGACGGGATGTTTCACCTATATGAGAGTCACCACATTCACAGTTAATTTTGTAAATCACTCCTGTGTGTGTGTGTGTGTGTGTGCGTGCGTGCGTGCGTGCGTGGGCGTGCGTGTGTGTGTGTGTGTGTGCTTAGTGGTGGGTGGATTACGACCTTTGGCTTGGAGGATGGTCCTGAGATTTGGAGAGTCAGAGATGGTGCTGCCTGGTTGGTGCTTTAGAAGTCTGGTGATTTGATGGGATGCGTAATTCTAATGGGGGCGGCTTCATGCTTAGTCAGCTTGGGTTTGTCTTGACTAAGGAGATGGTCCTCTTGACTAGGTTAGTGGGATACAGGTTGAGGGTGGTCAAGACATGTTGCAGGTGGTTAAGGTCATGTTCGAGGTCATCGCTGCTGGAGCAAATATTCTTGGCGTGCCTTGTCATGGTTGAGATGACACCAGACTTGGTTTTAGAGGGGTGGTTACAGTTGAAATGAATGTACTGGTCGGAATGGTTTTCTGCAGACTGTGGTTTGGATCTTGTTGCAGGAGTCTCTGGATACAAGGACATCTAGGAAGGGAAGTTTTTTGTCGTTCTCTGTTGTTCAACTCTGCTAAGAGCTATTCCAGTCAAAGAGGAAAAATTCAATAACGGTAGAACGGAATATTTCTCACCATTACAATATAAGAAGTTAACACAGGATATCATTACAGAGCTCAACGTATCTGTTTAGGTGCTAAACACCAACCCATACATATAGGATATTTAAGTGTGACACTGCATATTAAGAATAATGGTTGATGCTTCAGGTCCTGGCACACATCACCTTAGACAATGTAATACAATTGCGCTTTCCGACCTTGGAGACACAGGAGGATTTGATAAACCCGGTACTCAGTGAGTGAGTGAGTTTAGTTTTACGCCGCTTTTAACAATATTCCAGCAATATCACGGCGGTGGACACCAGAAATGGTCTTCAGACATTGTATCCATTTGGGGAATCGAACCCGGGTCTCCAGCGTGACGAGCGAACGCTTTAACCACAAGGCTACCTCACCGCCCCAAACCCGGTACTGAAGACAAGTTATATGTCTTATACTTACACGATGGTGTATACAAACGAAAAGAAATTATACGTGCGGCACCTAGCGTTACAGTACCATCTAATCTAGGTTATTTTATTGATGTTGAGATCCTCAGTATTAACACATTGTACAATCTCGTCCGCACTGATGATGATAAATGGATTATGCTCGAAACAAAAATCGACTGGCTACCAAATATCACCCTTTGCCCGCCAGATGTGATGAATAATAACTAGAATAATAAATAGTAGGATCATCCTCGTGGCTTATTTCCCATCAAAAAGAAAGAGTGTGTTAATGGTGAGAAATATTTCGTTCTACCGCTCTAATACCTTGTTCGGGGAATGTATCCATCAATATCCACATAAAGGAATGAGATGCCATTCATCTGCAGCTGACAAAGTATCCTGTTCCATGTCATGTGTCATTTAACAGTCTAATATGCCAAAAAGTGATCGATCGTTTCAAGTTTTTGACATTGGTGTATAGTCCCACTGGTCACCCAAGATAGCACACCTGGCAACTACTTCGTGATGTCCGCCATTCTTTAAAAAAGTAATTAAGTTAGCCAATAATGAGCAAACAATCAATGTATTGGTGGTTAATCCTTTGAAGGAAGGATGTTGTTTTTACACAACCACTTTACGACAGGGTACTAGATGAGTAAATCTACATATATAAACACTACCTTTTGACAAATCCGCTGTGCTAGATAAAAGCAATTAATCAATCAGCGTGTTATCGGTTAATCCTTTAATTGATGTTTGTTTGGTATCTCAGCTGATAATTCCTCTTGCTGCACTTCCATGCGCTTATTACATAAGATGTAATACATTTGCTCCATCAGACCTCAATTGATAGTGATGAGTATTTACTCCAAACACGAGAAATGCCAAATGGGAACCTTTGTCGGGTAATCAGAGTGGTGTTACCTTTAATTATACCTGTTATAAATTCATTAACTGACCATCAAGTGAATGATGACAAATAACATGTGTAGTGTTTACCACTAAACAAGGGTTACAGCAAGAGAGTAGTAATCGCTGCATTGCATGCAAGTTTGATTGCCCGAAAAAAACCTTATGGGCCGACTCTGTTTTGAGGATACGAATGGAACTTCATTGTTGCATAAGAAATACATAAAAGCATTTGCTGTGTACTTAGTTAAAAACTGTATATACCTATGTACCTAAGTAAAATTTCAGATTTTTTTAGCAATGGCAAAGTGGGGTTGTTTAGTTTACGGATTCAAATACATCAAATGTTTGTTTTTTATATCATAGCATGGGTAATAGACATTTTAGTTTTACATGATTAAATATCGAGCTAAAACACAGAAATAGGATCAAATTGGATCGGTCACTATACCATCCAAGCATTTGAACATCTGAGAAAAAGCCTACAGTGCTGGGATACTTTATTACAAGCAGACAAGAACGACTGAGGATATTTCAAATAACGGCATCTGATAGGCATCCACCCTTCCTAATGTCCTACTGATTAGGTTGAAGAAATTCTGCCAAGGTGGACAGTAGCCCAGTGCATTGTCCGTCACGGTCGCGGGAGCAGGGGCTAACCAGTTTGCAGCTAGGTTTCGTAATTAGACTGTTGGCTGGAAACATTAATCGCTCTGGATCAGTGCCCCTTTAAATATGCCATTCAAATTACAAAGATAATTCAGATGCAGGAGGGACAAAGTCACATACAAACTTAATACCCCAAAAATGTCATTACAATGGGCGGGTAGAGCAATGCAATGAGGACATTTCAAACTTTGATGAAATTCCCTATTTTGATTTGTACTCAACCGTTCCCGATTATTTTCAGGTGAACAATTTAGTGCAAACACCCGGTATTATCACTATTTGAAATCGATTCATAAACACATGATGTCAATCACTAGAGTGAGTGAGGGGGTTAAGATTTAAAGTCCCATCGGCAATATTTCAGCCATATCGTGACTAGAACAAATTCTATATTCATGATAAATACACATAATTTATAAAACCCTGTCAACGAAGGACAGTAAAATGAATAGATTATCACAAAATGGACTAAAACTAGCTAGCATATATCTAAAAATGTAGACTACTATTTTGGACATTGTAAAACTGAGCTATTTATCGCCAACAACTGAAGGTAGATCACCATCCATGGCGACTTACAGTGCTTTTGCTACCTGCATGGACCCTAGCTGGATTTACACCATCTCTTCAGCCACTAGCGTTTATGCTGATATTTAGCCATAGATTAAAATGACAAAAATACCACGATTAAAAACCTGGTAGACTTAAATTTACTTCAAATGTTTTGGGACGTACGTACCCTCTCGGGAGGACAATAATTTTACGGACAAGCTTGACCGTGATTCTCTCATCACAAGGGTTACAAAATGGAGGATCTGCACTTTTTAACAAGTATTTGTGAGTATAACGCGTATGGCCAATGCGACATCGTTGCATAATGACCTCCTCAAACCTGTACTGACAACCCAAGTAGGTGTAACCAATATACGGTTTTATTTCATGTAATTTATTGATACCTACTTGGGTGTCCCACTTCTTCTGCATCAGATCACGGATGTAGGTTCGAATGCTAGCTTTGTAATCAGAGTATGGGATAAGAAGTGGTGTCACAGATTTGTTGAGTGCTGCCTTAGCAGCAAAATCAGCCATTGTGTTACCAGAAATGCCAACATGGCTGGGTAACCAACAAAAGACGATGTCGCATTGGCCAGTAGCAAGTTCATTATACAATTCAATAATATTTATTAAAAGTGGATGTTTACAAGAAAGATGTTTAATGGCCTGAAGGCACGAAAGGGAATCGGAAAAGATTATGTATTGTTTATATTTACGGTGTTTATTAATATATTTTAATGATGTTAATATGGCGTTAGCTTCTGCTGTGAAAATAGAGCTGTTATCAGGCAATCGAGTACATCTGGATCCAATGACAGTGGCACAAGCTACTGCGCCACCATCCTTGGACCCACCTGTAAATAAGGATTTATTATTAGTATATTTATTTCTTAATTGACTAAATTCTTGTTTATACTGTAAGTCTTTAGTTTCTGATTTTTTAAACTTTGTCCGTGTTAGGTCACCGTCTGGCCTCACCATTTGCCAAGAAGGAGGAGAAAGAAGACGGGAAGGAGATATAGCTTCAAGATCAATGCCAGCAGCAGAAATAAATGGTTTAATTCTGACCCCAAGAGGCGGAACAAGGGACGATTTCCTGTTGTATGAATCCCCATAGAGGGGATTGAAGACACGGTTGAAAGCAGGGTTAGATTCGTTAGAATATAATTTTGTAATATACTGTAATGATAATTTATACGGCGTTGTGCAAGAGATGGTTCATCTGCCTCAATGTAGAGACTGTCAACAGGAGATGTTCTAAAGATGTTCTAAAGGACCTTGGTGGTGGACAGGATTTAATAGTTTGAGGTTGCTGTTACAGCCTCCACCATATACAATGGAGCCATAATCAAGCTTGGAGCGAACAAGTGATCTATATAGGTGAAGGAGGGTAGCTTTAGCCCCTCCTCACTTTGAATAAGAAACGACTTTCAACAAGTCAAGCGCCTTCAGACATTTGTCCTATAAAATGCCCTTCCCCTCTTGTAAGAACCATTTTCCTCTGCATCACTGAGTCTTTAGACGTGCCAACAGTCTGGTGCCAATGGGGATGCCTACTTTTTGTCTTAATTGTTTACAAATGTAGCAAAGATGTTATCAATGAGGACGTCCAACTTTACACAGACTGGTTTCTCGGTAAACTTGAATGACATATGCTTCCATTTTTTATGAATTGTCCTGAACTTCTGAAGATAGATATGTAGGTATCTCTTTGTGAACTATGTCTATTTACAACTACCCCATGGATCAAGTTTGTCATTTGGGATAGTGCTGTACACCGTTAAAAAATCAATTCTTTTGACAGAACTGAACACGGTCCACTTGTACAATTTCAAGCAAATCCTTTGAGTTTTGAAGAATCCACATGGAATTAATTTCGCTAGTCTCAAATACGTTCTGTGACTACGGAGAATTCCGTCATTCATTGAGACGGCTATGTGATGGTACATTTGTTAGCCATTCAACAAAATACATCAATGCGTGTACAATATGTTCCCGTTCAGCTGTGACAACTCATAGATACCTGTGGTGGGTCAGACTTTGCTCGTGTTTTCACAAACACCTGTTACCATGGCTATTTTATAGCAATTCACAAGTATGCATAATTGTATAGTTTCCAATGGTATCAGCTAAGATTACATGGTCTATGAAGACATTTTATCGCACTGTACCAAGATGTGTAAATCATATGTTGTGCCACATATACACTGCAATAAAAGGTATTACATGGAATCAGAATATACTTTATGTCTGCACTGGATACATTCAACACGCCTACCGAACCCCCCTTTACTTGTACATCTCTGGCTTCCACGTAAATCAATTAAACATTAATAGAGTTTACCAAGATATGATCTCAAATGTTAAAGGTTCAAGGATATTCTATAACTTGATTAAGAACAACAATACTCCTAAGGTACTAGAGTATTGGAAAACTGTCTTTCAGCAGGATATAATGTGGAGTGATGTATTCAGATATTACAGGACATGTACAAATGATTGTAAGCTGCTAGATTTTCAGTACAGATATATTTACAGAATAATCTATACAGAGAAAGAACTATTGAGGATGAAGCTAGTTGATAATGATACTTGTACATTTCGTAAAAGTACCTCAGAAGACATATTGCATGTATTTTTTTACTGTGATTTAGTTAAAACCTTTTGGCAAAATGTAGAACAATTTCTAAATACCCACCTCCAGTGTAATGTCACATTTACAAAATTCACTATCATGTTTGGAGTATGCTCAAACAATAAAATACTTAATCATATTATACTTCTTGCCAAAAGATTCATTTATGTTTCAAGTATAAAACAAGAAGACAAAGTCATCAATATCCCCCGCAATGGCAAAATACTCTTCATGATTATGTCTACAAGTTATGATTATGTCAAATATAGAGGTGTGTATATAGAAAAGTGGAAGGAGAGTATTGAAAGGTTTTTTGAAGTTCTGCCCCAGAAAGGAGCACTATCTCCAAATTCAGTCTATGTCAAACTTGTTGCCATGGAAATGCCAAAAATATTTTATTCAGAAATCCAAAACTACCAAAAGGCACCAGTACACCACCAGATCTATGTATGTGCCAAGTTTGGTGAAGAAATAGTGAACCGTTTTAGAGTTCTGCTCCGGAAAAGTGCACTACCACTAGTTTCTGTTTTAGTCAAACTTGTTGCCATGGAAATGCCAAAAATATTTTATTCAGAATTCCAAAACTACCAAAAAGGAACCAGTACACCACCAGACCAATCTATGTGTCAAGTTTGGTGAAGAAATAGTGAACGGTTTTAGAGTTCAGCTCCGGAAAAGAGCACAACCGCCAATTTCAGGCTAAGTCAAACTTTTTGCCACGGAAACGCCAAAAATATTTTATTCAGAATTCCAAAACTACCAAAAGGCACCAGTACACCACCAGATCTATCTATGTGCCAAGTTTGGTGAAGAAATAGTGAACGGTTTTAGAGTTCTGTTCCGGAAAAGAGCACTACCACTAATTTCATTCTAAGTCAAACTTGTTGCCATGGAAACGCCAAAAATATTTTATTCAGAATTCCAAAACTACCAAAAGGCACAAGTACACCACCAGACCAATCTATGTGCCAAGTTTGGTGAAGAAATATTGAACGGTTTTAGAGTTATGCTCCGGAGAAGACTAATGTGCACGGACGGACAGACGCATGCACGGACGCACGGACGGAGTCCATTTTAATACCCCCCGCAAAACGCGTTGCGGGGGATAAGAACAAGCACTTTCCATTGAGGGATTTCGTAAGTTATTAAAAGATATATGTACAACTGAGAAATATATAGCTAGGAAAAACAATAGCTTAGATCCCTTTATAAGGAAGTGGAAACATTTATATACCTTACTATGTGCTAAGCATTGAACTCTACTTATAATATCAGCTGATATTTCCAGACACCCCTCACTACACCCCTACACTTTATATTTTATATGCCCTCTACAGAAACTTTAATGATATCTTATGTATCTATATATTTGTTTTAACCTTACAAAACACCAATGATATATATATATATATATATATATGTGTGTGTATGTATATATACATACATATGTATATATGTATGTGTATATATATATATATATATATATTGTTTTTTATGTCATATGTAACCTTACAAAACACCATTGATGTTATATATATGTGTATGTGTCTATGTATGCATATGTATTTATATAATATATATATCTTTGGTGTGTGTGTGTTGTCTTTTATGTCATATGTATTTCATCTGAGACTTGAAATGGAATAAAAAACAATAAAAAAACGAAACAAGTTCCGCACCAAATGTCACCTACTGGAAAATATATGTACACACAATAAGCATAAGACATGGTGATAATAATGACAGCACTAAATACTTAAAATTGCGATCAGTTTTAATTACTGGATGGATGTGCTTTTAAAAAAGCATAAGTATCTTACTCTATTTCATCCAAACATAGCTGTCACAAGTCTCTGTCTTTTCAGATGTTTACATGCGGTGCTCGCTCAGGGAGCATGTGATTCTGATTTAGTGTAGTGGAACCTGGAGGGGCGTGGTTGTTACGAAGCCGACGTCCAAACTCGTCCCAAGCATGTTCAATAGGGGCTAAATCTGCTGAACATGCCGGCCATTCAATGTGTTGAACATGGTTCTGTCTAAGGAAGTCCGTCAGGATACGGTGTGGTCGGGCATTGTCATCTTGGAATATGGAATCGACGCCGATACGTTGTAAACATGTCAAAACAAGGGGTCTGATAATCTCCCGTAGATAGCGATTTCCAGTCATGTTACCATTATTGACATAGAGAAGTGTCCTTTGATGAAAGGAAAATGCACCCAAATCATGGACGCCGATACACGCTGGTTCTACCTTCATTGAACTGTAGAGTAAACCTAGACTCCAAGAGTAATACTGACGCCCACTGAGCACGTTGCCAAAGAACATGGTGTCTACACGAGTCACGTCTTGCCATCCTGTGTCGCCGAAGGAGTGGTGGTCCTCCTCAGTCGGTTCCTCCTCAGTCTGATCAGATCAGATTCCAGGGTACCTGTGGCAGCTCCCAGTTGGTCACGGAGTTGTCTTCAGTTATTTTGCTTTGTCGGAGGGTCATATTTGTCAGGTACCGGTGTTCTCTAGGAGTTGTTGATGGAGGCCTGCCAGAACGTGGTCGATAATTCAGCGTTCCAGTGACACGAAACTGTTGCCATAACCTTCCAAGGACACTCTGACTCACATTTAGTCTCTGAGCCACACTGCGTTGAGGTTCACCATCTGGAAGCCAATAAGAGCTTTTCCTCTGTTTGTCATGCTCAGTTGACGTCTTGCCATTACACATTGCAAGGCTTATAGGGGAAAATAAACATGCACAGCACTAATCCCACGAACAACATGTGCAAATGCTGTTCATGATGAAACATCATCTTCTACATGCACAGTGGTGGCGTTTCTGTGAAGCACTCGGTGTTTCAGTTCATTCACTGTTTAAAAGCCTACCACATGATGACTATTGGCACCGCGGTTATCTGCAGCCTTTATCCGAGGCTGCAATGGTTTTGAATAAACTACAATATACGGAATGTAACATTTCATTCATATATAATGCAACCAAGCTCATCAATACCATTGCATCATGATATCGCATGACCCGTAACTGTTTTTAGTAGTATATATCAATCTAGTTTGGGGGGGAATATTCATTTTATAGGCAAATAATCACCAGTAAAATCGGCATTTACAGAACTTAGTTGTGAAATCAACAATAAACACTCAGGATCAACAAAATTGACCAGTCAGACATGATTTGGTTTTCAGGTAAAAATGTCAATACAATTTATGAAGTATGTATGTGCAGTAATAAAGAAACGGCCCTAACACGCCAAGTGACGTAACAGGTTTGCGCAGTTACATTTAGTGTTTGGGGCACTTGCTTTGTCCTTGAAAGAAGGAAAATTTAGGATTTCCATGTCAGAGAAGGCAGATTGGGTATTTTGTCTGCAAGTGAATAAGTCGCTAGTCAGGTAAAGGCATCACATCGTTTTCTTCTAGCTTGGTCATCATGCCTTCTTGAACTGTTACCCCGTAAAGAGTCTCGAACAATTGAGAGTGAGTGCGTGAAAGGTTTTACTACACATCAGCAATTTTGCAGCTATTCGCGGCGAGAAAGACTTTATGTATTTAAGAAATACAGTTCGCTCTACCACCATGAATGGTGTAACAAAGCACACTTTCGCCCTGAACTAGTTAAAGCACGAGGACGCTTGCGTATTAACGTTATAATAGTTTAGGTGTCGCTGTAAAATTGTGAGTGAAACTGAGACATTTTATCCGTGGGAAAACATAAACGTAATGTTTCCACCAGTGATGTCAGCTGAGTGAAGCAACTGCAAACCAAGAAATGGATGCAACGGAGTAGTTTGCTGTAATAGGCTGTACGAGGAGATGACAACTGACGTGCATCGTGAGGTCAGTTACATTGTGACGTAATGCAAAAGTGTTTCGATTAGGGGGGGGGGGTGCTGGAGACTAGAATGGCGTAGTGACGCCAATACATTGTGACGTAATGCATATAGTGCACATTATCGTCTGATAAAGTACTGTCGGCGCATTTGATCTTTCACCGAAGCATCTTAGAATACAATTAGGAGATAAATAACTTTTTCTGCCTGCACTCATTGACATCGAGTACGGGTACACCTGACGACGTAGCAATACAATGGTCTGGGCGATGTTTGTACGTATTTGTAGCGAATTTCCGGGTACCGAATGCCATTCGATCATGTTTTTCAACCAATCAGATTAAAAACACAGTGACTTTTGGTTTACAATATATTAAGAATACAAATAAGAATGATTATGAAACTCACGAAAATGTCTCAGGCAAATATTACATTCAAAGACAAAACCTGACTATTGAGATAAAATTCTATTTTTCGGTCATATAATTTGATTCTTTGAAATAATATAAAATTATTTTTTTAGAGACTGTTGTAAAGGTTCTGCTAAAGTATGAACATTATCATAAAAACGTTGTCTGACAAGTGCAAAATCCACACATTCAAGTAAAATGTGCTTGATGGTTATGTGGCTATGGCTAGGGATGCAAAATGGTGCTTTTCACCTTTTAATAAAAATGAATGTGTATGATGACTATGTCAAATGCGGCACCGCTTCAATACGGTGTACCCCCACTGTGCCCACTTTTCTTAAAACAGCAAAATGCAGTCACCCGTGGATAGAGGAATTAGTTATAGTCTTTTTCAAGACACGTCTGGTGACACCGGGACCACAAGTCTGAATAAATTGGTGAGCACATTTCAGAACAAACTGGTTAACACTAACAAATGTAACAGTCATGTATATATATATATATGATAAAACGAAACCCCACTTCACCATTCATCATCATGGCTAGTTGAGGTGAGGTGAAATTGGGTTAAACGTCGTGCTTGAGAATATTTCGCTCATATGACGACGTGCATGCGTGTGTATGTGTATGTGCGGCTGCTTGTACTAACCCAGACAGAAGCTGGTTTTATAGTGCTAGCTCACTGAGATACCATGCCGCAGTGAAGCATGAATACCCCACTCAGACACATTATACTGACTCCGAGCCGACCAGTCCTTGTTGTACCCATTAATGCCGAGCGCCAGGCAGGGACCAACAAGTACCATATTTTAACGTCTTTTGGTATGACGCGGTCGGGGATCGAACCCGCGACCTTCCGCTCTCCGGGCGGACGCTCTAACCACTACACCACGGAGGCGGCCCATGGTTAGTTGACATTCAGTACATTGATAATGCACAGGGTGAAGATGCGGGAGATGCTGTGTCAAAGACTACCGAATTTGAAGGAAAAAGTTTAGAGATGTTAACGCTAGATTTCTCACCCTGAAAGATGATCTCTAGCATGGAAGAAAATCTGTTCTGCAATACCGTGATTGTGTCTTTCATTTAACTGCATTGTGAACTGACAGTTAATGGTCGTGTCAGAAAATGAACATGCAAAAAACTAAAAAAAAAAGACTGGTGACTCCAGATATGTTGATGACACGTTATTCATGTTCCTCATACTAATGTTTCTTAAGATGCATATCACTTGTATGTTAATAAATTATTATTTCAAACTCATTACACTTATGTCTTGTATCAGAAAAAACTTCATGCATACGTTTCAGACCTCAGTACTAATTAAACGCCAAACGTTTCTTGAATAGGTACTACTGCCCCATCAGGGCAAGGTTTATGGATAAATTCTATAGCCCTCTAATCCTCATGACCCTTAAGGATAAGCTTCATGGATAGTTCTACTGCCCTCCAAAACTCATGACTTCCTTAAGGGCCCGTTTCATGGATAGGTTGTACATCCCTCTTGGACTCATTACTCCTTTCAGGTTACACTTCATCGATACGTTCTACTGCCCTCCACATCTTACGATTCCCTTTAGGGCAGGTTTCATAGATGAGTTCTACTGCCCGCTCACGACTTCCTCCAGGGCTAGTTGCGTTGACAGGTTCTAATCGCCCTCCACAAATTCCTACTCCGTTTAGGGCAAGGTTCAAGGGTAGGCTCTACCAGGTAGGATCCCACCAGTTTCTTCAATACACGTATTATGGGTAGGCTCTGTCGCCCTACAGTTCTTAATTTTTCCTTCAGAGGGAAGTTTGCACATGACCTCGGACAGCACGTGCAAGAGATGGTTGCCAAGCTACCTTTGTCACTGAACAAATCATATTCTTGGAACCAAACGTTCAAAGACAATTTAATCATCAAGGAGGTTACAGAAGGTGGTAAATTATTTGGTTAGTTTCTGTTTCATTGATTTGTAGCACCATGGTGAGTGAGTTTAGATTTACGCCGCACTCAGCAATATTCCAGTTATATGGAGGCTGTCTGTAAATAATCGAGTCTGGACCAGACAATCCAGTGATCAACAACATGAGCATCGATCTGCACAATTTGGAACCGATGACCTGTGTTAACCGAGCCAGCGAACCTGACAACCCGATCCCGTTAGTCGCCTCTTACGACAAGCATGGTTTACTGAAGGCTCATTCTAATCCGAACCTTCACGGGTACTTGGAGTCTGTGAAGTGAAGTGAGAGTCATTTCAGCGTCGCGTTTCAAGTCATGGGCTATCACATTTTGGGACATATACATGTTTCTTAACGACACATACACGTGTTTTGCAATGTTATATTTTGGCACTCGTGACAAGCAACCTCTTCATGGTGAGTGCTGGGTAACACTTATAGCCGTGTAGACCTGGGGTGATGATCCAGGTGTACCAAGAAGAACTTTGCCAGGGCTGGTTAGTCATTATATGAGACTCTGAGTATTGAAAACCTGAAGCATGATCTTCTCAGAAACAGTACAGTCGTTTTCTGATATACTTAATGACATCGTACAATTCCATATTCCCCTGCAACACATATTCGTAAACCATGGTTTAATAACGAATGTAAACGGGCAAGAAAGTGTAGGAAGAAAGCTGAAAAGTGAAACGTCTGGCATCCTACAGTCCATAATTTTGTTCTAATGCCAAGGCTCGACACACATTTAAACAAAATAAGCGTCAGTCTTGGAGCTGAGTTGAATTGAGGTGGGTTTTACGTCACATCGGCATTTTTCCAGCCAAATAGTGACGAGATAAAGCCTAAAATATTTTTTAGTACAAAGTCCAAATGAGTTTTATTTTAAAAGCATACATATATATTCATTACACTGCTATTCAAAAAACAGAAAATGTCAGCACTAAATTCAAAAGCACGCAGTTCGTTATTCACATTACATTGTTACAATTTACGATACAGATCAACTTCCCTCAGGTAGTTTACAATGAGATGCCCGCTCACGCGGCGGAACAGAGATTTATGACATCTTAATGTGAATCCCTTGCAGTCGAAAAGTCCACACAGTCAAGCGGTATATGCTTGATGGTGAACACTTCATTGCAATAGACACACATGGGAGGTCCATCCCCCATCTGTTTTCAGCAGATAGTCATGAGTAAACCGACTGTGGCGAATAAGACATCGTCGTAAAATTACCTTATCAAGTCTTGACAACCCAAGTAGGTATAACCAATTGTTGGCTTCGATTCACAAAGTGGATTTCTTCCTACTTGGGTGTCCCTCTATTTTTGCATGAGGTCCCGGGTGTAACTTTTGATAGTGGGTTTGAAATCACTGTACGGGATCAGCAGTGGAGATAACGGCTTGTCAAGAGCTGCTTTAGCTGCAACATCGGCCTTTGTGTTAGGACGATGTCACATTGGCCAGTAGAAAGATCGTTGTAAAGCTCTAAAATGTCTAGGATGATAGGGTGACTTGAGGTAACAATTTGAAGTTCTTGAAGGCAAGATAATGAATCTGTGAAAGCGATGAAGATTTAGTTTTGGCGAGACTTGTTTTTTTGTTTTCCTTTGATGTCAAGATGTTCTGCGCACAGCATACAACTACAATTATTCTCTTAAACCTAATACTGAAAGCCTTGTCCAAAATGTCGCGAGTGTCAAGTTTTGCTCTGTATACTTGGGTTGTCAGTCCAAATTTGAAGAGATCATTATGTAATTCGTGAATATTTGTTTAAAATTGAAGATCCTCAGTTTTGCCTCCCTTGTGATGAAAGGATGTCTTGCTTGACTGTAATGAAACACAACTTGATGGATGACAACTTCTTGTTTAGGGGTGGGGGTGGTTTGCTTAGTGGAGGGTGGATTACGGCCTTTGGCTTGGAGGATGGTCCTGAGATTTGGTGAGCCAGAGAAGATGGTGCTGCCTGGTTGGTGCTTTAGAAGTCTGGTGATTTGATGGGAGGCCTTACCAATAGAAGGAAGGGTAATTCTAATGGGGGCGGCTTCATGCTTAGTCAGCTTTGGTTTGTCCTGACTAAAGAGATGGTCCTCTTGAGTAGGTTAGTGGGATACAGGTTGAGGTTGGTGAAGACATGTTGCAGGTGGTTCAGCTCATGTTCTAGGTCATCGCTGCTGGAGCAAATATTCTTGGCGTGCCTTGTCATGGTTGAGATGACACCAGACTTGGTTTTAGAGGGGTGGTTACAGTTGAAATGAATGTACTGGTCTGAAAGGTTTTCTGCAGACTGTGGTTTGGATCTTTTCGCAGGAGTCTCTGGACACAAGGACATCCAGGAAGGGAAGTTTTTTGTCGTTGTCTGTTGTTCAACTCAGTGCTAAGTGCTAAGAGCTATTCCAGTCAAAGAGGAAATATTCAATAGCGGTAGAACGGAATATTTCTCACATTACAATATAAGAAGTTAACACAGGATATCATTATTGAGCTCAACGTATCTGTTTAGATGCTAAACGCCAACCCATACATACAGGATATTTAAGTGTGACACTGCATATTAGGAATAATGGTTGATGCTTCAGGTCCTGGGGGACACATCACCTTAGACAATGTAATACAATTGCGCTTTCCGACCTTTGAGACACAGGAGGATTTGATAAACCCGGTACTGAGTGAGTGAGTGAGTTTAGTTTTA